TTTGAATTACTTCTCATCATTTAAAACTTAAAAATAATTGGATTTATGGCAATCCTAGATAAATACTAAATACATTCGAAAAATTCGATATGATATCATAGTGAATGTGATAAAAGTATACCAGAATTGAACTGGTTTTAAAGTTTTACATATAAGGGTATTTTCATTATAAGTAATCACGGAAACACTGGAAACTCAATTAGTAGTAGAATAACGATTGTTTTAAGACTTGTACAATATATTCTAGGTTAATATTTGTTACAAATAGTGGATGTATTTTTGAAGTTTAAAAAGTTGTTGTATTTGTCATCGTTTACTTATGTGATCAACAGCGCATAGCAAGAACAAAAGWCACCCTTGAGGCATAATCTCTCCATTGGTGGCTGCACAAAACACAGCCAATTATAACAACTATAGTGATCAGTGATTATTCATGTAATTATTCATTTTAGCTTTCAAGAGACTATTACATTTGTAAATACCAAAATCACAAACAGCCCTTGCAATGAAACTGGCCCACTTTCAAGRCAAGATTCCATTACGTTATCCCAACGAGCTCGAGGTCACGCATTCTTTCTTCATTCGTGGTAGTGTACTAAGATCATTTTTCAGCGATGCTTGACGTGATTTGTGGAATTTCTGCTAAGTTAAAAAAATGGACTTATTATCCTGAGAATATCAGCGCTATTCTTTGGGAAAATGGTTTTTCCACCGGATAATTCTCTACATAAAACTTTATAAAACCGACGAAGATGGAAGATGTACACGAAAGCGGCTATTCTTTAAAACATTTCACCAAGAAATTCAAACTACCAAAGGTTGTTCGAGTTGTGTCGGGAATTTATGACATGCTAGACGAAATAAGTCTTTCTCGGGAAGAGATTTTGACACTTCATAGTCTAAAAAAGTACGAGACAGTCAAAGCAAGCGACGAAGAAGGACATACTTTTTACTTACCTTTGAACATCACCAGCAAAGTCGCTATTAYCTCATCAGATCTGAATGACAACAGCAGGCACAGCTACGTTGACGTCCAAACTCTAGCTGATGACTTTCCGCCGTTAGTGACCTCGACACACGCACATAACTGGCTTGAGATTGATGCTGGGGACATTTTAAAACCTATTCAAACATGGATCACCAATCCCAGGAAAGGGTATCTTCAGTGTGAAATTTTAAACAAACCCTTAAATGACGACATCTTTATTCCTCTCTCTTACTGCGCTAAATTTGAAAAAATCGAGACCACAAGCCATAACTCGCTGTTTTTGAAAGAAGTCGTGACGAACTATCCATTGCCTGTCAAAGTTAGATTTCTAGAAAATAGAGTAATTATTCAAAAACATGATATCAACGCCGGTCGTCCGACGAGCATGGACACTTTAGGGATTATTACTCTTCATGGACAGTGTGACTTAGCTCTAGTGGTCGCCACAACAATCGATCCAGATTCTGGAAAAGTGTATTCTCTTCTCAATCTTCCTCAAGACCTGGACATCACCATAACGCCGTATCCAGGCTCACCGAAAAGGCCCAAGAAAAATGATAACCGTTTGCTGGGCTTTTGTGATAAGAACTTTGTCTATGGATCTACCATTATCGAAGAAAAAGAAATTGAAGATCCGGAATCTCATGGTTATGAAGATGTTCTACCCCGGTTGTTTCCGAGGAAGAAACCTGGAGCTCCTTCCCGCTTTAGGCACAGACACTCACTTGAAAATTGCAAGTTAAAACATCATGAAAACGAGGAGAGTTGTCAAAGTAACGGTAGCCATAGTAATGATGGCCATGACAATGGAAAGGGTGTTGAAGATATTGTGAAAATGGAGCAGCGTTATGGTCGCGATTTTCTCGATGGAACCCAACCAACAGGTCAGAACACAACTGATGACACTTCAGAAAGCCAAATATCAGAAGCAGAAGACACCACTGATAACGGAGCAAGAGGAACCGTTAAATCCACGAATGAACTAGATGAGGAACTATCTCTCGATACAAAAGTCAGTGTCGACGTCGTGAAAGAACTTGAGAAATTCAAAGCTTCTTTAAAATTACATTACCCACCATATACCTTTAATCAAAATTCACCTTACTCTGAGAAAGGTAGTGAAAATGACTCTACTGGTGATACCTCTAAACTTGGTAACGATGGTCGACAAGACGGAAGTTATGGCAGTGACAGTGACGCAGGCATTAAACATAAAAGCAATCAAAATCTTAAAGATACTGAACAAAAATCTGGACGTGATTGTGGTAATAGTGATGAACCCCTAGAAAAAAACCTTATTTATGTAGATATTTTTGGAGCTTTTGATAAATTCAATGTCGACGAGGTACGCGGAAGTTATGACAGAAACAGTGGCACAGATGTTAAACTTCAGAGCAATCAAAAGCTAAAACTTCCTGGACAAGAAATTCAGAGTGATCCTTGTAATGTCGGTGAACCTCGAGAAACAAGCCTCGATGATGATGATGTTTTTGAGGCTGAAGTTGAAGCTAGCAATGCAGAGAAAGAATGTGGCGATGATGATGATGATGCAGATAAAGAAACTGTTGTTAATAGTACAGATGATCAAGTTACTGGTAACCAGGAAGCGGGTGATGATGATGGTAATCATTCCAATGTCAGTAGAAATGATAATGATACCATTTATGACAACGAAAAACCTGATAGAGATAAAGACGATTGTAGTTCTAGGAATACATCAATCAGTTCATCAACGGAAAGTCAATATCAAACCTTAGACGCTTCAACCATTGATTCTGCGGAAACCAGGCTCGCTACCTTAAAAAGATTGAGAGAGAAAAGGTTTCCTCTTAGCGAGGACGTATCTGGCACGAAGCACATTGAACATAGACCTCGATCCGACCTTGAAGGTTATACGATACCATCACGTTTATTGCTAGAAGGAAGCGAATCCCCGTCATCTTTCATGAGATCACGGACATTAACTGATTCTTTCCTGCACTGCGCAGACGACGAAGAAGTAAGTTCACTTCAGACCAGAAGTATCGGTGTAGACACCCCTGACGATTTTAAGTCATATTTGTACATGAATAGAAATCCCGCTCCCTCCCCTCCTCAGTACAACACACTCCCAGCCTCGCTTTCAAAAAAGTCGAAATCAAAGAGTTCCAGGAAGGGTAGCCTTACAAAGCTCGCCATCTTTGCAAGAAAAGGTCTCCAGAGATCGCAGTCGAGTGCAGACGTTGATAAATACAGCTATGCTTACGTTGAATCCGTGAACAATGCAAAAGCAGATCGAGCAACTGAAATCGGAAAAGTCTTCGACATTCGAAAAGCGTTCAAGAAAAAAAGCAAATACCAAACACCTTTGGAAGAATCGCTGGGTGGTTTGCAGACAACGTCACGTGATCGTCTGCAGACTCTTGATGTTGATCAGGTGTGTAGCTTGTTGAAAACTTTGAGCTTAGATCGCTATGTGAAGAACTTTAGAGAAGCAAAGATTGATGGGAGTATCTTAGTGGATTTGACTGATAAAATGATGGAGGAACTTCAAATAGACAAGGAAGTGGACAGACATAAATTACGTAAAACCATCGACGAGGGGTGGTTACCGAAGGAAAGCAAGTGAAAGTCTAGTGCGCGCTTTATTGTAGTGAAAGATAGCGTAGTCAGTCACTTACCACRAAAATCTTTGCATCGCGACTTCCTCGTTTCGAAGTTTGCTTTCCTTCGATCCAAGGGGCGGAGCCTTTTGTAAACTCGTGCAGTCATTAGCTGATCTGCAGCAAGCTATGCCCCAAAGTCGCAGAAAAACCTAAATCMTAGTCGCGATGCAACGGTTTCTGCTGTAAGACATGAAGCCCTTGCATGCAACTTTAGAGCAGCCTCATCTTGGGTTCAAAACAAAATAGATTTTTACTCTCTTAGGAATTAGAATTTATTGTGAAATCCCTCAGATGGAACTGATTCCTTTCTCATGCTCAGTGTTTATAGTTTTAGCAAATACTAAATCCGTTTGTGATTATTTTCTCGTGAATAAATCAGGAAAAATTGACAGTGCTTTTATGTGAAATGTTTCTTAAGTGATGCAGTTATTTCCTTTGGGTACACGGCAGTAACTACAAGAAAACATGGAGGAAAGTCTCTTTTATGTCGTCTCAATCATCAGAAAAAACTTTACTCAATTCTCGTGTATGATAGTCAGTTACTAAAACTGCGCAGTCGTATTTCGCAGTTTCTTTTCTCGTACCCAGAGCCCGCGCATCAATTGTTAGTGCGCGAACTCTGGGTACGACAATGTTTGTTTTGTGTGCAAGTTTAGAAACCGATGACTAAAGATCTATACAGTTTAATTCTGATTACTTTTCGACCATCCCACAGTCTGTTAAGAAATAAGCTGAAAACGATATGAAGAAAGGAAATGAAAAATACATTCAATCCAATTTGCCTCATGCATCTTGTTATTCAGATAAATACTGACATAATGTAATAATAATGATGGCAACGATGATAATGATGATGATAATAATAACAATAATAATACAAAGCAATATTCTACTATATGTTTGAATACGTGAAACAAATGTCATAAATACCACGAATTTCTTTTCAAGGGACCTTCTTCACATGTTATCTCAGTTTCCATGACAACACTTTAGGAGCCCCCTTAATTTGTTGACAAAGCTAGTGTTAATCGCATATTAAGTGTTTGGGAATTGCCGGAGGGTGACTTTCAAGTTGATTTAAGTCTCGGAATTTTCTAGGTCGCCATTGCACAGCAATCCCTTCTTASGACTAATGTTTCCCCTTCTGTARAATAGTKTGCAAGTCCTCAAGTTGTCTGTTTGTCTTCTGCAGAAGAGCAACGAAAGGTAKGAATGAATTGTGTGTTATCTTTAGAAAAGTATRTTGATGATGTGATGGTTTGTTATAAGGTTGAGGRGTTTTTTAATCTGCATATCAAGTATTCGGTCTCGTCGTTCGTTCAGTATCTGAATGTGTACTCTGTGCTCGGTTGTATGAGCAAACATAGTTTTTAACCATTTCGTTAAGCACTTTGAAATTTCTCTGTGCAGTATGCATTTTCAAGGATATGAAACTGGTGGTGATATCACATCTGGTGAAGAATAGCCAACAGAACGCAATATAATGTATCAAATATCCATAGGGTTCGATGAATTGACGACTTTGTCAAAACAAGCATTTTAAGGAAATTTTTGGATAATATTGAAAAATATGAATATCGGTGTATAACCCTAAACTTAACGTAACTACTAGCATGCTTATTATAAAAGTTGGTTATCTCGATTGCCTTGGAGAGTCCACTCATGTACATATGACATGACAGCATACTTAGAAATATGGTCTTCATAACCTATTTGCATCATCCAGGCCGAGATGATGCTATTTTCGAGATATAATTTATTTTAAGTACTCGTACTCTTTTCAGAAACAGATATCGTTCTTGTAATTCAAAGCTTCGACCCAATCGCTATTTCCCTCGTTGAATGACTTCGTAAMTTAAGTCCCCAAAGTGATAATTAAAGATTTAGATAATTTGATAAGATATTGATAATTTAATTGACTGCCAATATACTGCTAAGTCTTATCTAGTTGCCATATTTGGAGGATGTMACAAGTTATAACATAAGTGTGACCTTGTTTATATTGCTTGGTGTATTTTCGAGAAAGCTCTAGTAGTTTCGATTGACTAAAGTTGYGTTTCAAAGCGACTTTTATGGTAAATAAAATTTCCGATTTTATACGCGTCAATTGATGGGAAATTTTATTCTGTTCGATAAATACAAGCTTCGTTATTGTTGTGCTTTCAGACGTGCTCATTCTTCAGCACAGTTGGGAACAAGTTTATTCTTATCCGCTGTTTGTTACTGATACGCCGCAACTAAGTCCAAAACAAGCTGAAACTTTATGTAAGTGATTATTGCAATATTGAAAAACATTGATAGATCTTTACAAACAGCTCTTGACTTTCGAGATGAAAGCGATAGTCGAAAACAGCGATTCTAATCTTGATGGGGCCCTAATCGGAAGTTTTTTTTTTACGTCTCTCCCGTAGTGTTTGTAACATGTTTACAGTTTTGAAAATAGTTTAGATTTTTTTGACGTTTTTTCGTTGTATTTGCATAAATTGTTTTTTTTTTTTTTTAGTTTTCAGAGTTTAGTTTACTGTAATACAGTGTCATCGTCTGCATAAAAATCTCGCAATCACGTTATTGCTACTATTTATACCCTTCAATGCTGTATAATATTATAAAAGGAGTACAATTAACGCTGTAATTGTACTCCTCTCGACCAATGAAAAAGTATTATTTTGTTGAATGTACTATAAATTCTATAATTCTGATTATCATTATTAATTTTTTATTTTTTATCTGATTATTAAGATATATTATTATTTTATTCAAGCACAAAGTAGTTAGTCAATTATAGAAAACAAAGAAATTAGCCTGACGATTATAAAGTAATTATGGTTCATTTCATATTTAAGTGGATTTTTTATTTTAGATCGTTGAATTTACTTTTCATGCAATATTCTACTCTTTTTCTCATTTCCTTTACTTTGAAAACTAAATTTCAGTTTCATTTCTTTTTCTTGCGTTCCATTTAGTTTCCCTTGTGGGAAATGACGGGAAATGGCTCAAAAATGTTTTTCGTCGAGACTCAAAACACGACGAAAATCATCCTTAATCCTCCTAAGTCAATCTCATAACATTTACAAGGGATTTCGATCGTCTGAGAATGAATTCAGTGTGACTTGGCAAAAGTACAATTGAATGAGGTCGAGCAAAAATATGATTTCGTCGAATATCAGTTTTGACCACGGCTTTAGAACACAAGATAGCATTTCCGTCTCATTTGTCTTCCCATTTCATTTATTTTACTGTTTTTATTCATTTTTTCATCCAGTTTTCTCATTTTATATTGCGAACTTGGCAGTATAGTTACAAACTGTCACGCTGTATGACCCCAACCACCACCCCCTCAAATACCAAACCGCAAAACGGAAACGACCATMGATGTSAGTRATCAAAGTGAGCCAAAATAGCTCTTATTCGCATACCCCGGGTCAAATATGCAAATAAGTCTGTATTAGACTCGGATAAAAATATACCGTTGATTTGAATCGACAGTGAGTGAAAACACTCATGATAATCACAACACAAGTGCCACACATACCCTAATATGGATACATGTACAATCCATTTGTTGCTAGGCAACTAGTTCGAGGTCAAGGGCTTTGCATTGTCTCCAACGTCGACTCCCTGCGATGGCTACATGCCTGACATTGCTTTTACGGTATTTATAGAGTCGGAAATGCGTGTTGCATTCAAACTATCTTTAAAGCATAGCGAGGACCATTAGATAACGAAGCCGAAAGCGTCCTCACAATCGCTAGCAAGACGCCGCAAATTTGAATCCAATCTCATTCACAAAACACAAGGTATTTAAGCCTGATTTATCTCTTTATTACTATCAGTTATTTTAGSATTTTTGTTTTCATATTGGGATATTATCGAGTTAAAAATACACTACTGTCAAAAATAGCCATATGGTGTGACCTTCRTGGCTTCATTGGGAATAAATAGCTTTGGTACCAGCAGAGAATACTCTTGGAATAATGTTTGGGTGTTTTTCTTATTTTCCAAATTTATAATTCCGTTTCTCCTTGTCTCCCTCGTGTCTCGATMAAGTACTCTAGTTACCAGTCTTAAAGAAGCTCTCTGTTTTTCGAAAAAAATATTAATAWATCGGAGTTTTGATGTGTTGTAGGTATTTAATTTGAAATTTACTCTTTCTATAATGTTTAATTGGGTTATTTCCTGTTTATTTTTTTATGTCTTTTGTGTTGTTTGTATTTCATATTGTTTTATATTGTTTTTGTGATCGTTTTGCATCGTCTTGTTTTTATTTGTTTTGAACCAATTTTATTAGCATTTTAGCTGTCTTCAAGTTTTTTATTCAACTGTTTCGAAAAGGTTGTCCATTTGAGAACGACAATTTGACTATGATAATGAAAACTTTATTTATTTATTTATTTTTTTGTTACATCTACAATTGTAAATCTCTCTACTTATAGGTGAATTACAATTGTCTACTTGATAAACATTTATTATTCACATAAACTTGACATAAAAAATTAATAATAATGATAATATTAACGATAATAGCCTCAACAATAGTTCATCAATTCTGGATTCATCCATGTCTAATATATAGCATCAATCTTTTTAAAACGTTGGGCTGCCTGTKTATATGACGTCATAAAATGGGGACGGCTTTGATTTCTTCACGTTTTGATTTCTCATAATATTTTCAGACTATCGCGCATATTATTCTTGTGCCTGGAAATTTCTCATGTCCTTTYATACGTCACGTAATCGCTGACCTGTCGATATTCAGAGACGTCACTGACGATGAAAACTGCTTTCCGCGAAACAAGGCGGTTTCTCCAAAGTCCTTGACACCAATGACTGCATTGCCTGCCTGGGTCGCTATTAGGAAGTGCGAATGTGATGTAAACTTTGTTCCAGTATACGTGTGTGATATACAGCAGGGCGCGGCACTAAGGGGGCTGAGGTTCGGGATTGATTACACCTAATCGTAAAATCTTAAGATTACGTGCTTAATATTTGTTTTTACAGTAAAGGAAAAAACATAGTACAGTGATGCAAGTTCTGACGTAYTCGGTGAGGACTAGATTCCGGTCATTGCATGAATGTTCTGAATTCAGACTCATTATTTAATTAGATGGGGAGATAATTACACTAGTTGAAATAACCCTAACCGCAAACGACTATTTTTGTACCGATATATTTGATATAGACTTATAATTATTTGCAGTATTCTTTATATTGGTTCCGGTTTTCAACGTAATTAGCCAAAAACCAGACAAAAAATGCCTTAATGTTTTCGACAATTTATTATGTTAAGAATTAACGGCTTTTTATCAAGCAATGAAAGAAAAACATTTGACCCAAGTGTTGATGCATRACAAGAGACGTTTTCAAAAAATCACGCGCCAAAAATTGCAAGTATGTGGCTGTCTGCTTCGTCTACGTCAAGGAAGTTGTGGCAATATTTGCGAATATTCACGTTCTGTTATCGTAAGAAAATAATAGTTAATCTTCTAGCAATCTTTGCGTTATACCTATCTGATATTATAAATAAGATAGCTTGACAGTGAATACCATAAACACTTTGAAGAAATTTAGGCACTTTTACCGATTTGCTGAGGTT